ATGGACTCACAGAACATCCTCAGTTGGAAGGGACCCACAAGGATCATCCAGTCCAGCTGCTGGCCTGGCACAGGGCAGCTCCAGGAATCACATCATGTGCTTTTTCAAGGTCTGTCCAGTTCTACCTCCCAGGCAAGGAAGCAGTGAATCATACATTTCAAATTTGAAAGAGCCTGCTGCCACCTTGCATGGCATTCCAGCAGCATGGAGGGAGAGGGAGAGGGCAGCCACAGCTGGCTGCTGAGCAGCTTTCCTTTGAATTCCTTCTCTGCACCAGGAAGGCAGCTGCCTTGCCAAGCTGAACCAGCACAAGTGGAAAACAGTGAACACAAACACATCTGTGGTGGTGTCAGACATGGGAAGATGTTGATGGTGTATGATGACAATATTGCTCAAGCCTCTTCCCACTGAGGGTAACAGAGGTACCTCCTCCAGTCATCAGGATAGAGGGGGAAAGAAGAACTGCTCTGCAGCCTGGGGCCAGCTGAGGCTGGTGAACACCACCAGGTTCATGTGCACCCAACGCCCCTGTGCTGCACTCCCTGCCCTGCCACCAAACCAGAGCCCTCTGAGCTAACAGGGAACTCCAGGGATGGACATGACTGTGTCAAAATGCTGGGGCAGCAAGACAGACCTGTGGCATGTGGAGGGATGAGAGGGAACTGAGGAATAACCAGACATAAAATTTGCTTGCTTTTGCCAGACCCTCCTTGTGCTGGCTTGCATGAGTGTGCAACACAGGACAACAGCCAAGCTCCAACCAGGAATTGTTTGTCCTGAAGGGCTCCTGATTCTGCCTTTTCTGGAAAGAAGGAAAACATCTAAGTGACCACACATCCTTTGTGCAGACCAGGTATTTTGCTTCATGGAGAACAGCTCCATCTTTCTGTTCTCTCCTCCACTCAGCCTACTTGCAGAAAGCCTCCTTCTTCCCCCTATTTGCATAAGTGATGATGCAGCCATCGTAATTATCAAGGGAATCCACTGTTCCCCCCTTTCCAGCACCTCCCCCTTTGCTGCTGCTCTTTCCCTGCTACGGGTTTTGCTAGCAGATGGAACTGGAGCCTCCTCAGCCCACTGGCTCTTCCTTGAAGAAGAAGAAAGTGACAGCCCTGCAGGCAGCCGAGCCACGGCAGCGTGACTAATCCATCCGGGGGAGCCTCCCAAAGGCCAGTGTCAGTGCTGTGCTCACACAGCCAGCTTGGCTGGGGGAAAACAGGGTGCTGAGCATGGGCTGGAGGGGCTGCATTCTTGCCCTCACAGGCATCAAGTGTTCCCCCACACTGCTGAGCTGTGCAAGCTGCCTCTTGAGTCCTTCCTTTTGTACTGCAGTCCAAGGGTCAGGGAAAGGGGATCTGAAGCCTCCAGTTGGGGGGTGACCAGGCAGCAAGATTAGCAAGCTCATGCATATGGAAGGATGACCTTACCAGCTCCACTCAGCCTTCTGTGCCTCAGATATGATTTGCAATCAGCCATGGCCATGCTTTTCTCCATTTCACCCTCAAGTCCTGTCCTCACAGCACTGCTTACATATGGTTTTACCCACGTTTTTTTGATTTATCTGCCCTACTTCTATCTCCATAACCCATTACCTCAGCAAATTAGCAGTTACCCGTGATGTCTTTTGGGCCAGACATCTCTTGCTTTGTTTGTGTGAGGATTTGGTCTTTCATGCAGAGGAAGGTGTATTTCTGCAGTGTTATTTGTCTGCCTGTGACAAGGTGGTGAGCACAGTCCTGACAGCAATTCTGCAGCCATAGCAAGGCCTGTTTAGCACAGTCCAGTCTGTACAGAGCTTGGTTTTTTATGTACATAGCATCAGATGGGCTACCCATGTGATCCTCTTCTGCTGTATGCCTGGAAATGCTCCAAAGAGCTGATGAACCAATTGGAATTACAGACAAGAGTTTAGTTATAGTCCCTGGGGGGAAACGAGGCCTGTGTGGAAGGAAGTAGGACAGGGGAGATGAAAATAGTCTATCAGGAAAGCAAGCCAAAAACCTGCCATGCAAAGGCAAGGCAGCCTCCTCCTGTACTCCAATCCATGGGCTCCAGCATCCCACAGCCGTCAGCTGAGCTGTCAGTACACTCAGCAGTTCTGGGACATCCACTTCAAGACCCAGAGATGCAAATCATGACAGCCAAATATGGGGGTGTGGAGCAGGTTGGGGGAGGACAGCAACCATGGCCATTTCAGAGTGTGCAAGGATAGACCAGGCACCTCCTCCACTGTCCTGGAGGAGACTCTGAAATTCCACACTGGGCTCCTGGTTCTACTGTGAAAGGACACCGGAAGAAGAAGTCAACCAGCCCCTCTCACAGCAACTTTCTGCATATGGGCATTGCTGGGCATAAATCCAGGGCTGGACCAAACCTAATTAATGTTTTAAGGCTCATCCTTATACAGAGACCTGGCTCCTGGATCTGTGCTCAGGGATCACCCTCTGCTCTACCTTCTTGTTAGATCTGTTGTGTCATTTTCTACTTGCTCACTTCCTCCTCCCAGCCAGGATCTCAGTTGGATCTGACATGCTCCATCTGCAAATATCCCCATCCAGCCTCCCCAGAGTGGCCACATAAACATTCACAGCTCCAGCCAGGGAAGAGGCAAAATCCCTCCTGCAGTTGGATTCCACAGGAGCTTTTCACCAGGCCCTCGTGGCCCAAACAGTGTCCAGATGGCCTCACCACACGGTGTCCCACCACATTTTGTACATAGCAAAGGTGCCAATTATCTCTTCCTTCCCTGCTTTGAAATCATCACTCTCCATAACACATACACTCTCTCAGTTGTCCTGCTTTCCACATTCCAGGTTGGCAATTAGAATCTGCAACCTCTGAGCTTCTCTGCAAACTGATGAGCTGCTAAAAATACAGCCCCTGCAGGCACCCATTCAACTTCTATTTCTGTATTTTTTATTATTTATTTTTTCACTTTTTTTTATTTTAACCAATTTGAGATGAACAAAGCACTTCAACAAAGGGAAGGGGAAAATGCTGTGATTGTGAAGATGGATTGCTGCCATTTACTTTGTTCATTTTAATTATACAAAGTCATCACTTAGTGGGAAGCCTCAGGATAGGAAAAGGGAACACAAAGGAGTTACCATATCCCACCTCCTTATTTCACTGTGCTTCATTTTAAAGCCTCCCCTGACATCCTGGCAACAATACCTGAACTACACTCCCATACTCTTAAATCTTCCCATACTTCATAGGTTACTCACCTGCTGTGTCTTCAGCCTGGAAAGCCCAAATAGTTCCAATCCTCCTGGTAAAATCATGGACCAGCAGGATCAAGCAACCTCTCCACTCTTCTCAAAGCCATCACACCCTAAGCCACCCATAAAAAGATGGGCAGCTTGTTTAAAATCTCCTAAATTTGGTCCTAAGCTGGGAGATGAGGTTAGAAACAACTAAGAACCTTCAGGACAACTGAGAGGTTTGAGGCAGAAAAGCTGTAGCTTTTCCCAACAGTATTAGTCCCAACCCTATCTCTGTTTTTGGGGCACTGAGGGGGATTGTGCCCTTCTTTCCTTTAAACCCTGTCATTCCTCAGAAGTGACTCCAGCTCTTCAATACAAAATGTCATCATTCCTCAAATAAAATTCTCTTGTGTTTCCCACAGAGATGTTCCTGGTGGGCCAAAACACCTTCACCATCTTTGCCCAACCTTTTCAGCTGCATCTTCGCCTTCCTTAAAGTTTAGACTTTCCCCCAAAGGTCTGATTTGATTGTATCCTTACAGATCCCCTTAATTTTCACTCAAGGGCTATTTGTAAACACTTGCTGGCTATTGCTACAAGTTTGTATTGAGTGATTTGGGTTCTCACTCAGGGATTTCTCTGCCCAATTTCTGCATATTTGAAGCTGTGTTTAGATATTCTCTCCTCACACACCAATTGCCACCTTGTTCTTTGTTTGACATAGATTTTTTCCCTTGTAGTTTTATCTTCAGTAAGCTGGTGCCTTTCTTGTTTAACTACAGGGCTTACAGGCATTAACCAGGTGTCCTTCCCTTCTAAAGGCCTGGGGATTGCATTTCCATTTGCTCTGCTGCTTCTGGCATCACTATGAGCTGTCTCCCAGCCACTATCAGGTCCTTTCATTGGTTTTTTCCACATTCCTCTCCAATATTTTATATTTACTCTCCACGTTTTTGGTAATTAGTAACATTGTCTAAGCTTCAATATTTGCAGGCTTCAACTTTTAATTCTGTTTGTTCCCACACTCCCTTGTTAACCCCTTTCTTTTTGGGTTGTGTTCAATAGATAAGACTTTCACAGGCAATACACCAGCGATGTTGAGGTTGTTGCTATTTACCTTCAGATATTTACAGCATTTCTTCCATTTTTTTTCCATTCCTCTTCATAAATAAAGTTCTTTTTTTAATCACACCATTTTTTTTTCCATGCACAGGTAGAATTAGATTTGGATAAGAGTCAGAATTTCTGTTTCTAAGAGAGCTCTTGTAATTTTGTTTCAAAGAAAATCTGGTTGCTGAAGATATGCCAGATTTCTGAAACTCTTCACAAAACGGCTTCACTAGAGCAAGTTTTTAAACAACCCAAGTGAATTGTTTGGAAAACATTGAAAATAAATTGACCTTGGAGGTGGACTGAGACATAAAAATTGTCACCGTCATGAAAGTTGATCCACTTGGTCGTTAAAAGTAATACCAAGAGTGATAGAGCTCTAAATTTTAAAATTTAGCATTAAAAAATGCTGTTAAGAATGAAGGTTGTGGAGAAGAGGTGAATGTGACAGAACCCAGCAAGACAGTCCTGCAGAAAGGTGAGAAACACTCAGTATGGGCAAACACAGCACTGTAACTGGTAATAAGGACATTTACTGTCTCAAAAGCAATAATTTGCAAAAGTTGAGAAAAATTACAGACAAAAATTATTAGATGAGAAACCACAGGCAGAGAAAATGCTGATTGCAAATTAGTGGTTCTGTAAAAGGAGTTTATTAGATGGTCAAAGCCTTAAACACCACAACTTCATATGAAATAAGAAGACAACCTTGCCTGGAATCCAAGCCTTGCTCTGCTACAAAGGAAAAGGACAATGGGGAAAGTCTATCCACACATAAGTTACATAAAAAAGGGGATGAAAATGTGTTTTTCCCAGTGAGAACAAGGTTGTCTCCCTTGAAAGCCCCTGTGAGTGCCATGGCCTTGGTTTGGGGCCCTGCAATGTTACCTTTGTAACAACTTGCTGAAAAGAAAAAGTCTCCTTGGCTGACATGGATCAGCTGAGATATTGGGGACCTTTTCCTAAAAGAAACCCCAAAGCATAGCAGTTGTAGAACTGGGAGCTGTCTTTCACACAGCAGATGTGGGAAAAGCTGTCTGTGGCAAGCAACCAAAAATGACTGAAAGGAGGAGTTAAGGACCATTCATTCAGCTACTCTGTGGGATGGACCATAGACCTATATCCCAGCTTTCAGGAGACAAGGGACTGTGTATTCAATACACTCCCGTGCTCATTTGTGTCTCAGCATGGTCCTCCTGGCTTCAGAACCATCAACCTGAGTGTGCACAGCAGCTTGTTAACCTGGTGATCCTTCCACTCCTGCCCAGGCAGCAGAGAGAGTTACAAGGTCTGACTTTCAGGAGGGAACAGCAGCAGCAGCACCTGGTCAGCAGCTCAGGGGTGAGGCTCAGGACACACCACTCTGACCCTCAGCTCTGCTGAAGGGAGGCTGAGCCACCTTCGGCAGCTGCTCCCAGCTCTGTGCCTCAGTTTCCCTGCCTGCAGTAGGGAAAACACCACTGACCTCCAGTGTGAAATGCTTGGAAAATGCTGCTTCCCAGGCCTGTCTCGCAGCAATTTCTAAGACAATGCCCAATTTAGGATTTTGTGTTTACCCTACTGTTCCTTAGAGCTGGCAGCAGCATTCTGTGTTGTTTCTCATCACTCAGAGCTATTATTAACATCCTTCTGGAGACATGAATTGTATCTACAAACACCTCTGATAATTAGGCTAAAAATCCTACTACTGCTGATGCAGCTCTTGCAGAATACATCAAGAGTAAATCCAGTGCCAATAAGTTTTTTGGGACTCAATAATCACACCTGAGATCAGAATTAGAAAAGGCCAGACAGAGGATTTTTGCTGCACAGGAGGTGAGCTGACAGGTCTGCATCCCTTTCCTTGCATCCTACCCCCATTCACTCCGTCCATCCGGGTCCAAGCGTTGGAGGCGAGGAACAGATCTGTGAGGAAAAACAGGGAGGAGAAATAATTAGGGAGGGAAGCATGGAAAGTGACTGTGGTGATCCCCCTTTTCCTTGGCCACCCAGCAAAGCCTCATGGGGGGCTTGTGAACTGGTCTGGTGAGTGATGCTGTGTTGGCTGAGAGCTCCCCTCTCCCCCCACTGCCCGGCTCTCCAGGACCTCCCAGGCCAGAATCCTTGGCAGGGAGGTGATGTGGGGGAAAATGACATCTCTTGAGTGAAGAGCAGCACTTCACTGCTTTTCAGTCCTTCTGCTGACACCAGTTCACAGCCTGCAGCGGGCTCCAGAACACACCTAAAAATAAAACAACACCTGGGCCCTCTGCTGTTGGAGGGAACAGCCACGGTTTGCAATACGTGGAGTTTGTGGAAGCTCTGAGCACAGGGGGGCAGGCAGAGGGTCAGCCCCAGGCCCTGTGCTTTGGCACTGATTGCAAACATGGGCAGGATCTCCTACAGAGCACGTTTCCCTGCTGCTCCAGCCGACACATTGTCATTCCAGTGAGGATCTTTGCCTTGATCGTAATCACACACAGGCACGGGAGAGGAAAGTCATGTTAATGCACTGAGCCCTCTGCATGAAGAGCATGCCTGGGAGAAAAACGTCTTTTCTCAATGGCAGGGCATTTTTGGTGTCTTCTGGATGTGGCTTCTGTTGAAATAGTGTAACATGAACAGCAAAACTAAGTCACACTACCCTGCTATGCAGGATGGGATCCCTCTTTAATCCCCAGGGAGAGTGGGATGACTGGGACATGTGCTCTGTATTTGACTGATGCCTTAGACAAGTGAAACCCAAATTTGGGGGTCGTGACTCTCAGGAGGGTGCCTGTGCTGTCATGATCTGTTTGAGGTGTCAGGACTCAGAGCAGGAAGCAGGTTGAAAACCACCTTTAGTGAAAACAACAGCATTAGCATTTGTAGGGATGAGTGACAGAAAAAGGGAGACTTCTTTGCACCAAAAAACTTCTGCATGGCAATAAAGGTGAGCGTAATCTTGGGAGGAAGAAAGGAAGAAGAGAAAGGGAGAAGAAAAGAAAAAGGGAGATCTATCCAAAGTCAGTAGGATTTTTTTTCCACCTCCAGTGGAGCTCTGTGTACACCAAAGCAAACAAACGGTGCCCAAAAAATTTAGACTGAGGAAATGAATTTCTTGGAATGCAAGATTCAACCGAGAAGTGATAGAGCAGGTTGATCAGCTTCATAGACACTTCTAGACAGAGAACCTGTTTGAGGCTGTATTTTCACAAGTACATGTGAAATCTGATTTCTGAGACCTCTGAGGTATCATTTTGCCAAAACATCCAGGCAAAAGGGAATAAAATATTTTGTCTCAAAAGATCACAGGATAATGGGAAAAAGAGAAGCACAAAGGTTGTCTGATCTGCTACTGCAATTCTGATGAAAAATTCAGCACTGGGTGATTCAGAAGAAGGTTTAACATACCTGCTCATCAGCTCAGATCTAACACATCTAATTGTGCAGTTCTTCCCATGGGAGGTCATTTCTGCCTAACCCTGTCTGATAATTAGATTATGTTGTAGAGATTTAGTCATTATAAATTTCAACCTGTATAATGTTTTGTCTGGACACAGCTCTCTGTGAGGTTGCAAACTCTTTGATTCCTCCTAAATTATTCATTTCAGTAATATCCTGTGACAATAAATTCCATGGGTTCGGTTCATCACATGCATGGAAGGTTATCCCACGCTGCCTACACTATCTATATTTTGTCACCTTCATGTCCTTCTGCTGTGTGAGAGCCTGCCAGGGCTTTTGGGATGGATTTCTCAAAAAGGGAGTATTTTTATGGGCTAAGATGATCACCACCTTCATAGCACCACCCATCATTATGGACTTCTCTTTCAGAGGAAGCATCCCAGGGAGAAGACTGCAGGGAGCTTTTTCTCTCTGTATATTGGGTAGTAAATTTGGTTTTCATCATAGCTGGGAAATGGATGGCAAAGAAAAGGTGGAGAAGTGGAGAAGTTCAGCTACAAGGAGAATAGGGTGGCACTGTGGAAGGCAGAGTGAAGGGATGGGGCTCATGTGCTCAGGTATATTGAGAAACCTGTCAGTCACACCGTGGTTTACAAGGCAATATTTCACTTAATTTCAGCCAATATGCAGCAATGTTTCTAATAACAAGCTCTCAGAGGAGCAGGGGAACACACAGGAAAACAGACAGGAGGGAGAAACACAGGAGGAGAAAGGAAGAAAGCAGGAGAAGCAGGACAAGTTGGTGGTGAACCTTGGGCCAAACCAACTTCCCTGAGCAAGCTGTACAGCTGTGGGCACAGAATTGCACAGGCACGTCCCACCTCTGCTTGCTGGCAGAGAGTTCCTGGTGGCACCCTGACACCTCAGAGCAAAGGTGGAAGAGCTGATGGTGCAGCCCTGTGGTGGCTCTGGGCAGGAATGACCGACACAAAGCGTGGAAAAGCTTGGGGAGTTCTAGAAAACACAGAAAGGGCATGTCATGATGTCCACCAGCAGCTGCCTCTGACAAGAGCTGTTCCTTCAGGTCTACTCAGGGGTCGATTCCCTCTCCTGCACATCCCTGACCTGACCCCCTTCCAGGAGCTCTGCACCCCTCTAGCAGCTTTTACTCTGCCTCTTTCCCAGTCTGTCTCCAGCCCAGTGCTTCAGGCTCAAACACTTCATCTATGCTCCAGCTTTCCCCTCACCTTCCCTGGCAGTTACCTTTGGATCTCAGCTGTGCCACACCATCCTCCATTCTCTCTGCTTCCCAGAGACCTCTCCCAGCTCCAGCACTGCAGATCTAACTGGCATCCCTAGTGCCTCTGGACTTTCAAAGTAAATCCAGTCTCTACTCCCTGACTTGCCCCTATCAGATCCCTGCTCTGGAACACACAGTGACTGCTCTCACCATTAGCTACCTCCCTGCTCCACACTTTTCTCTTCATTTCCTCCTCCCCTCAGGATATTGATGCTGGATGAAGTTTCCCATTAAACCAGCCACTCTTGTAGAAAGGGAAGCTGACATGATTAATGCCATTCAGTGGGGAAGGCAGTGAGTGCAGCCAGGGAACAAGGAGACAGGCACATTCCCATCAGCCAGTCATTAGCATTTGCCCCAAAGAGGCAGCAGGAGCAGGATGGACACTATTTTTCCAGCTCTGTCTTGTGCTGGATGCAAACTCTTCAGGGCCAGGAGGGAAGAGAAGCTTTCTTCTCTCTGGTTCATTTTTCATTTAATCTGTACCCAAACAGTGCTGCCTTGGGCCCAGGCACAAGTGACCCTCTGAAGCCTGTCCTGGTGGCAGCATGGAATATAAAATCCAGGCTTCAGATTGGGCCTCAGAGGTGGTCAGATTTTTTTCTAGTCTTTTTTCGTTTTAGCAGCTTTATGTTTTCTCTCTCTCCATCCTCTTAGCTCTTTCTCTCTGCCATTTGCAGCAGGTCCTCTGTGAGCAGCTCTATTGACAAGCCCATTCCCTGTGATTTTCCTTCACTAACCTGGAAAGCCTCATGAGAAGGAATCACCTTCTCCAGACACCAAACTTCAATCCTCTGTGAGGCTCAGGAGAAAGCCCTGAGAGGAGAGCAGCCAGGAATTTGACTCGTGTGGGCTGGAGGAGTCTGTTTCCCTCCAGAGTAACCACCAGAGGAGGTGATGGTGATTAACTTTGGACCTTTGCAAACTTCCCCCACCACCAGCACACTGTGATCAAGATCCCACATCATCCCATAATAGTTTGCTCTAATCTCCCTGACTATTTAAATAAGCAAATCAATGAATAAGTAACTAAGAAAACGAAATCTACTTTTTTAAATTGGATTTGTTGCCTTCAGCTTCCAGCCATTGATTCTCCATATGCCTTTTCCAGGTTCAAGAGTATTTCAGTACCCAGGTCCCTGTAAATAACTCCAAGAGTTTCCAAGTCACCCTTCTTTCCCCAGATGGTGTTTTAAAAGTACTTTACAAATCATTAATGAAAAATATATGAAAAGAGCAGTTCTGGTACTGATTTCTGTAGAAATATTCTTGTTGGGGTTGTTTGTTTGTTCTTCCAGGTTACCCAGTGTCTGTAAGACCTGCAGTTATCCAGTTTCAGATGTGTAAATGCTCTTAATCTCAAATAAAATTAACACCATAAAGTGCCAGGGGGCTAGGAATTACTTCAACAAAAGTCAATCCATTATGTCAATCCACACTTTTATCAATCAAACCCACAGTCTCAAAGAATGAAACTAATTCTATTTGAAAAGATCTTTTCTTCTACAAAATCACGTTTGATTCTTTATCAATTGGCATCAGATTGTGTGGTCCCATTATGTGGTCTAAGACATGTTACCTATTGCAGAGCTACAACCTTCTGGGTTTTTTTAAAAATGATATTATTGTATAATGCTCACACAATTACCTCCCATGCTGGGAGGTTTATTAGAAACTGAAGTTGGCAGACCAAAAGGAAGTTCAGCTAATTCTTCAAATGGTCTTGGTGTGACTTTTCCATTTCCCATCTTGATTTTTCCCCATGTAATTCTTATGTGTGGATATAGATTTCCCATTGCTCTTTTTCCTTTGTAACAGAGCAAGGCTTGGATTCCAGCCAATGTGGTCCTCTAATTTCATACGAAATTGTGGTGTTTGGGGTTTTGGCCACCTAATAAAACTCCTCTCACAGAATCACCAATTTGCAATCAGCATTTTCTCTGCCTGCAGTTTCTGTTCTAATCAATTTTGCTTGTAATTTTTCTCAACTTTTGCAAATTATTGCTTTTGAGACAGCAAATGTACTTATTACCAGTTACAGTGCTGTGTTTGCCCATATTGAGTGTTTCTCAACTGTGCAAACATCTGATGAGTGAAGAATAGAGAAAATTGTCCAGAAAGTTCTTATAACACTTTTTAAGAAAAAGAAAGAAAAAAAAGAAGATAAGCAAAGAAGCAATTGTTTAGTAAATGGATTTTGGAATAGGAAGGGAAGAGATTTTGAATTTGAGGCAGTAAT